CCCCCCCCCCCCGCCAGTGAAAGGATACACCATAGGCTATTTTGTTAAGTGACCACCTGGTGAGGGAACTGAAATAAGCTTTTTGTTTTACAAAAATGATATTTGTTACTCCTCATAGTCTAACTGAAATCTGGGTTTAATGACCAATAACCAAACCATGTCCAAGCTCAAACTGCACAACATTTTCCTCTTTGCTGCCTCCAACAGACATTAACGCCAACCCTGGTCTAATGCTGGCTGGTTTTTATTGTTGTTGCTGTTAGGCCAAGTTCCCTGTTGGGATCTGCCAAGACGGAGTAAAGCCCTGGTGACCCCGTAGGGAGTGACCACAGGGCACTGGTTCCCTTCTGGTGGCTGAAAGTGCACCCCATGGGGAGACGTCAGCAGGTTAGGCCGCCACATGGCCAGGAAGGTGCAGGGCTGCATGAGCACAGCGGCTAACACTGGATAAACACACCATCAGTGCTCAGATGTAATACCTAACACGGAGCAAAGAGAGTCTTCAGAAAGAGCCCAGGGTAGTACTAGGTTTATTTAAGATTTCCCTTCAGGGCCATCCTTATAATAACGCAGGCAGCGGTTTCTGTAAAAGCCAGATTAGATCATCCTACCCTGCCTTTTAGAAGTTTCCACAACAGATGGAGGGACACAGCCTTAGAGGAAAGCCCGGCTCACATCCGTCTGCGTTCATTATTGGCTCTGTTCTCTGAAATGCTATATGTTATCTTGAGCCTGTTTGTTTTTATCTGTCAGAGTGGTTTATTGTTAGGGAAATGTGGTGTCAGCTGTCTCTTCCCCACCATCAAAGCCGCTTCATTAAAGTTAATAGTGTTTGACTTGCAGAGATCTCTTACCGAGGTAACCCAAGAAAGCCCCTGCTGGCTGTTATTTTTCTGGCAATAAAGGCACCAAACGGACGCAATAACTGCATGAATCTTTTAGGAAGAAGAAGAAATAAAAACCTACTGCATGACTCTATCTAGTAGCTGCTTAGTAAATGCACCTTGAATTCATGACGCTAATGCCACTCTTCGGTTTGGGACAGGGTAAAGACCTGAATGACCTGTGTCCTGAATCTGCCACGCAAGGCTCTGTGGCCTGTGGCTTACCACTTCCCCCAGTACGAACTTCAATTTATTAATCTCAGAAGTAAGAGGCGTAGAGTATAAGGAAGCTTTGTCTTTAAATTGGGGAAGCTTTGAACAAAAGTAATGTTGCAATGAAGCCTCATATACAAAGCAGATAAAAGCAAACTTTTTCTAGCTAAGGGGGAGAAACCAGAAGTCCCACCCTCTCAGTATATCTACCTCCCTCCATACCCCCTTCATCTAAACCCATCCTCATTCCTCCCCCAGGGGTCCTGAGCAACCTCTGTAGGCTGCCACCCCCACCGCAGACTTCCTAGGACGTCATCTGAAATCCACTAGCCTAGAAGGACTTATCTTTAAGGTCTTGTCTGCTCAGAGTCTGGATTCTGTGATTAAGTAACTGGAGTCAGACCACACAAGGACAGTTTCTAATTAATGTCATACCTTCATGAAAGAGCCTCTGCTCAGTGCCGCACAACATGGAACAGTTTGGGTTTGGCTTCGTGTTCTGTCTCTCTACCTTGTGATCACTGCTTTCTATTGTGTGCTGTCAAGCCTCCCTTCCCCATTGGAGTGGTGGGTCTCCAGCAAGTTCCATCACCTCTGGGTCACTGTCACTTACT